TTGCTGCTGCTGCTGTCTGGTACCTGCTCCTTGCTGCTGCTGCTGCTTGGTAGCTGCTGGTGCTTGGTAGTTGCTGCTGCTGCTTGGTACCTGCTGCTGCTGCTTGGTAGCTGCTGCTTGGTAGCTGCTGCTGCATGGTGCTGCTGCTTGGTAGCTGGTAACTGCTGCTGCTGCTGCTGCTGCGTTTCTGCTGCGTTGCTGCTGCTGCTGTCTGGTACCTGCTCCTTGCTGCTGCTGGCTGCTGGCTGCTGCTGGCTGCTTGCTGCTGCTTGGTAGCTGCTGCTGCTTGGTGGCAGCTGCTGCTTCTGCTGCTTGGTTGCTGCTGCTTCTGCTGCTTGGTAGCTGCTGCTTGGTAGCTGTGCTGCTGCTTGGTTGGTGGTGCTGCTTGGTAGCTGCTGCTGCTGCTGCTGCTTGGTAGCTGCTGCTGACGCTGCTGCTGCTTGGTTGCTGCTGCCGCTGCTGCTGCTGCTGCTTGGTAGCTGCTGCTTGGTAGCTGCTGCTGCTGCTTGGTTGCTGCTGCTGCTTGGTAGCTGCTGCTGCTTGGTTGCTGCTGCTGCTGCTGCTGCTTGGCTGTTGCTGCTGCTGCTGCTGCTGCTTGGTTGCTGCTGCTGCTGCTTGGTTGCTGGTGCTGGGCTGCTGGTGCTGGTGCTTGGTTGCTGCTGCTGCTGCTGCTTGGCTGCTGCTGCTGCTTGGTTGCTGCTGCTGCTTGGTTGGTGCTGCTGCTTGGTTGCTGCTGCTTGCTGCTGCTGCTTGGTTGCTGCTGCTGCTTGGTTGCTGCTGCTGCTGCTGCTGCTGCTGCTGCTGCTTGGTTGCTGCTGCTGCTTGGTTTCTGCTGCTGCTTGGTTGCTGCTGCTGCTTGGTTGCTGCTGCTGCGTGGTTGCTGCTGCTGCTTGGTTGCTGCTGCTGCTTGGTTGTTGCTGCTGCTGCTGCTTGGTTGCTGCTGCTGCTGCTGCTGCTTGGTTGCTGCTTGGTTGCTGCTGCTGCTTGGTTGCTGCTTGGTTGCTGCTGCTTGCTGCTGCTGCTGCTGCTTGGTTGCTGCTGCTGCTTGGTTGCTGCTGCTGCTGCTGCTTGGTTGCTGCTGCTTGGTTGCTCCTGCTGCTGCTGCTGCTTGGTTGCTGCTGCTGCTGCTGCTTGGTTGTTGCTGCTGCTTGGTTGCTGCTGCTGCTGCTGCTGCTGCTTCTGCTGCTTGGTTGTTGCTGCTGCTGCTGCTTGGTTGTTGTTATTGTTGTTGCTGCTGTTGCTGCTGCTGCTGCTGCTTGGTGGTTGTTGTTGTTGCTGCTGCTGCAGCAGCAACCAAGCAGCAGCAACCAAGCAGCAGCAACCAAGCAGCAGCCACCAAGCAGCAGCAACCAAGCAGCAGCAACCAAGCAGCAACAACCAAGCAGCAGCAGCAGCAACCAAGCAGCAGCAGCAGCAGCAGCAGCAGCAACCAAGCAGCAGCAGCAGCAACCAAGCAGCAGCAGCAACCAAGCAGCAGCAGCAGCAGCAGCAGCAGCAACCAAGCAGCAGCAGCAGCAGCAGCCAAGCAGCAGCAGCAGCAACAACAACAACAACAACCCAGCAGCAGCAGCAGCAACAACAACAACAACAACAACCAAGCAGCAGCAGCAGCAACAACAACAACAACCAAGCAGCAGCAGCAGCAGCAACAGCAGCAGCAACTTCTTCTTCCCACGCTCTCTGTCGAGTTGCGCCGCCTACAGGCTCGTCTTCGCCTGGTCTCTTTCGCGAGATCTCTCTACCAGATGTCATCAAACGACAAGCGACTAGGATCAGGCCGACCACCGCTCGCTTTCACAGAACGGTCCAAAAAGTCATGTGGCCAGTTCCTGTCACCTGACTCGGAGAATTGAAGAAGAGAATTAAAATCTGAATGACAGGAGGCGGTTGGCCGCACGCCAACCCTTCCGCCTCCAAGGGGAAGGAGAACCATCTCATCCAACCGAACACAACCAACCACACGAAAAGGGGAGCCGGCCCAACCGCAACACAACCACCACACAACAAAACCAAAAAAGAAAAACACGGTCCTCCCATCCCCTCCCACACTCCCTCTCACTCTCTCACGGCAGCCATCGCCCAGCTGCATCATCTGTTAGCGGCCAAGCAGTTCCAGCTCGGCTCTCGGCAGTGGGAGGCGCAGCGCCGCCAGGAGTCAGCGCTTCCGTCAGCAGCAAAGCGCGGTCGACGTGCTGCTCAGCGCTCTGAATGCGTGCCAGGAGGCTTTCCAAGGAGTCCTGGTCCTCTGTCAAGGAGGGAGACATGTCGCGCATCTCCTGTGCATGCGCCGCAAGGGACGAAAGCGGCTCTTGGCTCATGGTCTGTGATCTGGTCAGACTTGAGGATGGGGGTGGGTTCAGGCCATCAGTCCCTGAAGCAGCTTCCTGCTTGCTGTCTGCCGTGCGCATCGGGCTGAGATCTCGCGGCGGCGAGAGTTCATTGGTGGGAATAGTCCAAATCAAGACTCCTCTGGAAGTCAGCCAGGGGGGAAGTGCAACGCAAGAAGTTGATCTAGAGTTGTCATCACAGTCTCCATTGAGCGGTTGGCACATTCCTGATGGCCGCTCGAAAGGGCCTTGCATGGATGATGCTAAGTGCGCAATGCATACTACGGCAATGTGAGGCTGGTATGTCACCTCCAAGCCTGCCCCCCCCCTACCTGAATCTCCTCGTTCAGCTCCAGGTGTGCAAAGTGACCTAGGAGGCACGTCGTTTCGACGTATCGGTTGATGTATCAACATTTGGGTCCTTGTGAGCTGAGGCAAGCTGCAATCATGCCTACTCCCTTGTGCCATGGTTGGAGAAGCTCCGTGATCGTATACCTTTCTTGAGCGAGTTCGAACAAATGATCCAGCGCGATCGGCTGGTGCTTGTGGCCCTGCTCGTGGCTTTCAACTCCTGCACTGGTGCAGAAGCGACGATCCCAGGCCATTGAAACAGTTGGGGATTGCATCCAAAGCAGCCACTCATTGGTGAACTCACAGATGTCACGAGGCCCCAACCGTTTCAACTCGCCCCAAACAAAGTGGTCAGACTGGAATGGGCGGCCAGTGCGATGCGACTGGACGATTCCATGTCTTTGAACAACTTCCCCAGTGGATGGATCTGTGCCCCCAGATCTTCCAGGCAAAAAGTGCTCCGTTGGAGCGTGGCCCAAAGAAGCCCCACAGCGCTAGCATTGGCGTAGCACCAGTCCCCCAAATTCTCAAACTCAGTGTCACGAAGCAAGCGAAGACGATGCAAGCGGAGCTGATGGAGAGGATCTATGTCCTGCGTCTGGTCTGTGTCAGCCGCTGCAGCTCCTGTGCCAGCTTGGAGCGCTGAGTGCCGTGCTCCCGCATCCTGGCCGACAGGAGCAGCCAAATGGATGAGTGGCACAAACTTTTCATCACGGATGCCAACCTGTCGTTGCGGACCGATATCTGCAGCCGCCATGGGATCACTTCTGCCTGAGACTCCTGAGAGGCTAGTGCATGAAAGCGAATGCAGTTGGCGCTCTCTTTGAAAGCTTCCTGCAACTGTCCTAGCTTCTGCTCCATCTCTACTTGGCTCAGTGGAGGAACTTGGTCCACCTCCGTTTGACGGGTGGAGGGATTCCAACGAAGGTAGGGGAAGGCCATGTCCTCGGTGATCCCCTTTGTTTTCACTGCTTGCAGTCTCAAGTCCTCCGCCGTCATCTGAGTCTTGAACTTCTGGTAGCTCGGCCAGGAGGGACTGGATCAGCCAACATCGCAGCGGAAGTGTTGTCTGCTGTGGTGACATGTCTTTCCACTGCCGAGCTTGGCGCAGCAGGAGTGGGATTGCTCCTCTGTCTCCCCGTGTGCAAAAGATCAAGTACTGATCTTGCATAGCAGCCGCATTCAAGGAGTCCTCGTGACGGATCATCAAGGCCGACATCAGCTGGACGATCTTCTCCATCTTGGCTGGTGTGTTCGAGTCCTGAGGGCTGGCAACTTTCCTGGGAGCCCTGTCCGCTCCCCGGTGCCGCTTTTCCGGATGTGTCAAGGCGTCGTTTTGAGACTCTAGCATACCTAAGAATGCCTCCTGCATCTCGTCCATCTTGTCGCCGTCCTGGATCACCGATTCCCGTGCCATTTGGTGTACGTGGCTGGGTGAAGGCCAAGGCACCGGTCAGGTTGAGGAGTGTGCTGCACTGGTGTTTCAAGTGTGCCCAACTGGTGGAGCCATCTTTGTGGTAGTCAGTTTGCGACCTATGACAAAGTGCACATGGTAGCTGAGCGTCCTGTTGAGCCCAGATATGGCGAACAAGGTACTTGGTCAGAGCTGGCTTGTCACAACACTCCCTATGCTGATGTAAGAGGTGATGAAACAGCTCATGGGTCTGGTTGACGGAGCGAGTGCACAAGAGACATTGCAAGCTGAGGGCTTTGCCAGTCCTTGGAAGAGGCTGGCCAGCCACGGTAGGACCATGGGCTCCTGAGTGTGCAATGCGGGGTGCAGGCGTGCAATCTGGGTGATCTTGGCCATGTCGGGCTTCCAAGGTAGGATCAGCCTTGCCACTGTCGGGTTGTGCAAGTAGTGGATCATGGAGATCTGTCTGTATGGTACACATCGGTGTGACCGGGGCTGGTTGGGGCGACTGGGATTGCAGGTGCACTGTGGAAAGCATTCTGCAAGTAGGTCATTGTACTCACCCCCTTTCCGCCAGAACCCACCATGGTGTGATTGCATATGCCGCACTGCATCAGCAGCACGGGTATAGGAAACCCCACAAAGGACACAAACTAGAGTCAGTCGATGCCTATTGCTACTGTCCTTCAAGTGGTTGTGCCAATCCCCGGTGAACATCGCATCGCATCAAGGAGCACTTGGTCCTTTCGAGGAGGGGAGGGGGGATCGTAGAGCAAGTCAACACATTTGCATGCTTGTCTGTCTATGTGTCTCTTCAGCTCCCACATCTCACAGAAGATGGTCTTGCAGTGGCTGCATGTCGGGAGGCCTGCGGTAGTATCGCGTCCCCATACAAATCGATCATGCGCACGTAGGCGTTCATGTAATTCATGTTGGTCCGGAAGAATGTCAGCGCAGTGGATGCATATGTGAACCTCTTCGGACTGGATGTGCTCATGTGTGTGGGGATGTGGGTTGATCCGGACGCAGTCCTCATGGTGGTGCACCTTCAGACTGGCGTTCTTCTTCATCTCCTCGACATTCATGACTGCTACCTGCAACAGCACCCGGCATTGGTGGGTGCCCTGGAAGGAGACTTGACACAGATCACACGGGGATCGGCGAGATGAGATCCAGTGCTGGTACAATCCCTGAATCTGAGTTGCCTCATCAGGGTGCTCTAGCCGAAGATGCTGAAACATGTCCTGGTGTCTGGTCGCCCATTTCCCGCACATCATGCAGTGGTTGATCATGAATCTACACCAGTCCTGGCGTTCTTCAATCATCCCAATGTCCGGTTGGATCACGAATGGCCGTACGCCATCCCGAACTCGAGCAAGTTCGATGTCCATAGCCTGGGCCGGGTTGAAGTCCGGGCAATTGGAGTATTCGATATGGTTCATGAGACTATGCCAGGAACCAAACTGCTTGACACAGTGTTTGCATGTGGGTAATCCTGCCAGTGCATCTCTTTGGTAAGAGAATTTCTGGGATCTTGGGTGACCATGCTCATGAAAAGTTTGCTCATGCTTGACGAGCAGTGCAGCTGTTACAAATGACTTATCGCACCTCGAACAGCTGAACAGGCAGTTGAATTAACCGATCAATAACACTGATGGCATTAGCAGTTGATTTAAACTGAAGTACATGGACAATATCATCCTTACTTAGACTATTGCATCGACGTCGATGGCCTGTGAGGGTCAGGACACAGGAGCGTCGAAGGAAAATCAGGGGTGGCTCAAGTTGATACTTGTCAAAACAGTCGTTGTGCGTCGTCTTAGTCAAAAAACTATGATCGCCAACAATCATTCGTTGCTGAAGCGTGAGTTTGCTGACAAGACTCCTTAAGCCTGACTGTGTGAAGCCAACGGAAGGTAGTCCATAGCAATATGTCGTTTTCACCGCCGAGTTCCAAATGGCCAAGCGATGTTGGAGCGCAATGCCCTTTTTCGCGCATAGCCATTTCCGTAAACGTTTGAAGGCCAAGGAGCCTGTGCGCATTCTGGCGTCCAGTGTGTGGGTTGTAGGACAACACGATCCCCAGATAAGGCAGTCTATCTCGAAGCTGAACCATGGTAGATTGCTGATTCTGTCTAGGAATACTGAGCCACCACCCACTGGACGTCCGTTTCGTCACCTTGGCCAAAGTGCGGTCTTTTTGGCGACCGACCAGAGAGAGAGCATTGCAAAGCTCTTCGACAAATTAACCTCAAGGCCGATGCGGTCGAGGATGTCCAGGAGCAATCCGCAGCACTGAAGATGACACATCAATTCTGCTTCATTGTGAATACAGCGATGAAGTAAGAAATCATCAGCAAAAACAGTAAGTGTTTGAATCAGAGTTTCCCAAGATGTGACCTCCACCAGTGCTTGCATGAGCCCCACAGTGCAGCACGTCCACAAGAGTGATTGACAAGGTATTCACTCCCAGCGTGCCATGCTCTCAACACTTGAATGCAGTCATCTCGAACCCCTATCCACTCCAACTGGTCAAACAAGTATTTGCGCGGAATCGAGTCGAAAGCCCTCTGAAGGTCCAGACTAAAAATGAGTCCTCCAAGTACATGAGTGCAGCCAAGGCTGGGTTGGCATGTGGAGGGTGTTCGAAATGTTTGCAACTGTGTTCTTACCTCGTGGCAGTGATCTATTGCCCGGCTGATGGCGTCTGCAGTGCCACGGGATGGGAGATATGCAAACTGGGGAAACATGTGGAGCACCTCAGAAACAGAATCCCTAGCTTTCCCACTGACCAGCCCAATCACCGTTTTACCAATGGCATTCTGAAGCGCAAGGGGGGCGCAGGTTCGAGGCTTTGGTGGGTGGTTTTGAAGGTTTTGGGAGCAAAAAAAAGGTGCGCAGCTTTCCAACAGCCCGGCGCGAAAGGCGGACTCTGATTCCACCAGTGCTGCAGCAAGGGCATCAGCTTGGATGCCAGCACGTTGGCACAGCTCCGTAGGCACAAGTTGGGCACAGTTCCTGGTGAGTTGGATTTCATCACTTTAGCCTTGGAGAGTGCCAGCGCAAGCTCACTTTGCTCAAACGGGACTCCTGGAGCAACACTTGCCACAAGTTGGAGGGGGGGGGCCTTCCCATTGAGTGGACACAAAGTGTTTGAGGTGACAGAACTCTTCAAGTGGAGTGAGAAGTTCCCCATTGGGTCCTCTGAGCTGCAATCGTTCCGGTCTAGTCTTTGGCGCTATTTGCCTGACAATACGGTGCAGGTTGAGAAGGTCATGGCGAGAGGCTGCATGGTTAGCTTCGTTAACCAACATCTCAACCTTTGCCTGCCTGGCCTGTTGGGAAAACTGTTTAATTCGGCGATCGAGTTGTTTGTGTCGAATGACAAGGTGCCAAACCCTAAAACAATCCTGCAAAGAGCAGCCTGTCGTCCCTTTGATCGTCCGAAAGATGGCCCACTTCTGGGTGGAGAGGCCTGCAGTACAGTCCCAACTACACTCTTTCCATGAGGCAGCGGCAAAATGATCCTGAACCAGTTGAACAGTGAGTCCGGTCCGATTCCAGGAGGTCCGATCGATGATAGCGGTTGAGGCCTCGACAAACCTATCCCACTGAGCGGTTTGCATCAAGGCAGCTGCGCGGCCTCGAAGCTTGCACTCATAGCTGACTGATGTGAGGGCGCGTCCCCCACAGGGTCGCCAGCTCAGAGGAATGGAACCAACCAGAGGAAAATGCCCTTGTGTTTGCATCCCAACCAGGGGGCAGGTTGGGATGGCTGAGCACTGTTTAGCTTCACTGTCAACTTGTCTGAGGCGTGTTCCTAGGAAATCGATTCTCGACCCTGTCCCTTTGCTTCCCTGAAAGGTGGGGGGCTGCATGGGTTGCCAGGTGTTGAGCATGCATATGCCATGTGTTCTAAGGATTTCAGTGAGACGAACCGTGTCTGGATGCCCCGGTCCGGTAGTCGGACGGCCATCATTCCCCCTAAAGTGGGTGACTCCAACAATTTGGGGGGTGGCGTTGAGACTGGAGGCTACGAAGGAGGTCGTCAAGGCAGTGTAGGAGGTCAAGCCTATCACGCCGGTTGGCCACAGTGCCACGAAAGGTGTGTTGATACACACTGATCAGGTCCAAGGGTCGATTACTAAGAAAAAGCCTCATGTGAACAAGCCTGCCTGGGACTATAGACTTCCATGCAATGTGAGACTGATCGCAGAAACCCTTCCTAACCAGAATCAAGATCCCTGTCGATTGTCTCGGAGTGCCACCGCAAGTCCAGTGTGGGTTCATCCATTCTTTGGATCCGTCCCATCGAGTTTCCTGAAACACTATGAGTTGAAGCGGCAATGTGTGCGCCCAGGCGCAGAGATCATCCAGTTTGGCTTGCGTCAACCCGGAGCAGTTCCAGCTCATCACATGAGCCCGACACCTGAGATCCCGTACCGGGTAGGGCGAGTGCTGATGCTTCGATGGTCGGGTGATAGCCTTTGGCGGATCAGGCAGGCCGAGATGTGCGCTTGTCAGCAGCTGTCCCCGGTACCATGCGTGTCCGGTGATGCTTGCCCTCTTCTGGGCACGAACAAAGCTGCGTTTGTGGGTTTTGGAGATCCGAACAAGAGAGCGTGTGTCAGTCGGCGGGAGACCATGTAGTTTCACTGCAGGCTCGAACGACCATGTGGTTGGTTCAGTGAGTGCAGTTCCCGCAACGTCCATGGTTCCGTTGCAACCCTCACCTCTAACCAAACAAGTAGCACTAGAAGGGCTAATGAGATTGGTTCTGTGGACTTGGGACCACAGGTCAGCCAGAATTAATGGTTGAAAGTGCAAGAGGCAGCCAGTAGGCAACGAAGTTCCCCAGCATGTAGCCGTCGAGCACTCAGCGCCACAGCGCAACACCGTCAGCGCTCAGCGGCACAAAGCGCCAGCACGCAGTGTGCCATGCGCTCCGGCGGTCCCCAGCACTATTCTATTCAGTGCTTGGCTGACAGAGGCTTAGCAGCAGCAACAACAACAACAACCAAGCAGCAGCAGCAGCAGCACCAGCAGCAGCAGCAGCAGCCACAACAACCAAGCAGCAGCAGCAACAACCAAGCAGCAGCAGCAGCAGCAGCAGCAGCAGCAACCAAGCAGCAGCAGCAGCAAGCAGCAGCAGCAGCAACCAAGCAGCAGCACCAAGCAGCAGCAGCAGCAGCAGCAACCAAGCAGCAGCAGCAACCAAGCAGCAGCAACCAAGCAGCAGCAG